ATACATCAGTGAATGATTGTTGACCACTCACAGCGTTCCAGGACTGTGCTGTGTGCTGTGCAAGCTCCTGAGGTGACTAGGACACCAGCCCCTCCCCCTGTTGGTGCCTCCTTTCAGCTAAGAGGGGCCCCCAAGCTGTCCGGAACTGCCTGAGGGGTGGCCTGTTGTGCCCAGGTGAGAATGGCTCTGCCTATGACTCGCCGTGTGATCTTGAGCAAATTCCTTGCCCTCCCTGAGTCTCCGTCTCTTCACCTATAAAATAAAGGTGTCTTTGATTGCAAAAGTTTCTGCCAGCCCTAGGGCTCTATGGGTCTAGGAATTACCTAGAATTTCTAAACAGAGTCCTGCCTAACAATAGCACCTGTACTGCCCAAGGGAAAAGAGGTTTAAACTATAACCACCAGGAATCTTTACTCTTAAGCTCATTCAGAATGTTATTAGATGACCCACGAATCAACATTGACAAGGAAGTGATCACAGTCAATTTGGAGTTAACACTTCCTGGTAGTGGATGGAATGTGCTTACACCTCCCTGAGGCTGCACAGACTTAGGCAGACCTGATCAAAGGGAGCCCCAAGCCTTCCACCTGCAACTCTGCCCAAGCCCACAGCTGCGGGGGCTCAGCTGGGTCCAGAGGAGCAGCCAAAGGGCACTGTGGCCCCCATGTGACTGGCTACCTTTCCTACACCCATGGGGCCTGAAATCCCTGACTCCCAGTTTTAGACAAGTCACAAGGACATCCCTCTGGTAGAACATTAAGGTCGCAGCGAACAACCCACCAAGAGTTGGTTCGAGCCACTTGCAGAATTCTGGCACCTAGGAGCATTCCCACACCTGGAAAGGTGGGTTTCTCAAGACACACTCTCTGGTTAAAGCAACATAAACATAGGCTTCCCTGGTGGCGCAGTGGTTGAGAGTCCGCCTGCCGATGCAGGGGACACGGGTTCGTGCCCCGGTCCGGGAAGATCCCACATGCCTCAGAGCGGCTGGGCCCGTGAGCCATGGCCACTGAACCCGCGCGTCCGGAGCCCTGTGCTCCGCAACGGGAGAGGCCACAACAGTGAGAGGCCCACGTACAGGAAAAAAAAAAAAAAAAAAGCAACAAAAACATAAAAGAAAGGCAATAGTCCTCACCACGGTCTACAAAGGCGTGTCTATCCAGGTCCTACAACCCACCCACCCTCTCCCCAGAGCTCACGTGCTCCAGCCTCATTGGCCTACACTCTGTCCCCCATACATGCTGGGTTCTTCCCCACCACAGGGCCTTTGCACGTGCTACTCCCTCGGCCAGGAATGCTCTTCCTCCAGGCCTTCACTGGCTGGCTCCTCCGTGTCCTTCAGACCTCTCACTTCCAATGTGCCATCCTCAAGAGGGCCATCCCTGGGCTTCCCTGGTGGCACAGTGGTTAAGAATCCACCTGCCAATGCAGGGGACACTGGTTCAAACCCTGGTCGGGGAAGATCCCACATGCTACGGAGCAACTAAGCCCGTGTGCCACAACTACTGAGCCTGAGCTCTAGAGCCCGTGAGCCACAACTACTGAAGGCCGTGTGCCTAGGACCCGTGCTCCGCAACAAGAGAAGCCACCACAATGAGAAGCCCGTGCACCACAACGAAGAGTAGCCCCCACTCGCCGCAACTAGAGAAAGCCCGCGCGCAGCAACGAAGACCCAATGCAGCCAAAAATAAATATAGTAAATAAATTTATAGAAAGAAGAAAAGAGGGCCATCCCTGATCACCCAAGTACAGATATTCCCCCTCGCCCTCTTCTCCCCCAGACATTTCCTCATAGCCTTTATCACTATCTGACATCGTCTTATCCATGGTCATCTTGTTTACTGTGTCCCAGCCCCACAATATAAGCTCCCTGAGGGCAGGGAGCTTGTCTGTCTTGTCCAAGGCTATATCCAGGGCTGCTTCATGGCCAAGGGATCAGGCTCCAAAATCAGAAAGAAGCATGCACAAACCTTGGCCTCACCATCCAGCAGCTGTGTGACCTGGCGGAAGCCACTCAACTTCTCTGACCTCAGTTTCCACATCTGGAAAATGGAACTAATAAAAGCATCTACCTGCAAGGGAGCTAATGAGGACTAAGATAATCCCAAGAAGCTCTTAGACCAGAATTGGTTCACTCTGCCTTCCCTCTGGAGTTAAAATTACCTCTGATTTTATTTTTCTCTCAGGCAAAATGAGAGTAATGTGATCTTACTTTCCTACCTCATTCAGTGGCTACAAAGGAGTTTGCAGGGATCCTTACCTCCATGGCCTGGAGATCTCCCAGTGAAGATCAAATACGACGCAAAGCCCCACACACATATGCAGGGCTTATCATCATTATCACACCGAAATTACAATTATTCACTCCCTCCTCTGTGCTCCTAAAGTACGGCTCCTGCAGCATTTAACTAAGGTAATTACTGCTACGGGAAGGCTGTTGACTCACACGTCTGTACCAGGACACGGGGATGCCTCGGGACAGCACCCTGAGTTCAGGGTCCTGCACATGCCCCGGGGACAGTGGGAGCCACTCTGTGTCTGCCCGATGGAGGGAAGGTCCTATGGTCTCTGAGAGCCAATTTCTTCTAGAAGTCACTGGGCCTCGAGACCAAGCATGGGGTCTTTCTGAAGGATAAAGCTGTGGAGAGCTGGACAGACACGCCTTCAGACTCTGCCTCCAATCCGTTTTGGGGTTGCTCTGGAAATCCATGTTGTGGCAGAACAGTAAATCATTTTCTGATGTGTACAAGGGGTTCAGTTACCGACAGGTTGCTTAGGGTTTCTAAGCAATAGTGCTTCAGTTGTCCCAAAGCTGTATTTATATAATATTTGACTTTAAAAAGTCAAGTGTCCGTTTCAAAGGATGGGGAGGGCATTGGGGGAGAGGAATGGGAACAAGATTTCCCCAACAGCTACCTTCAGAAGTCCAGAAATGTCTCAACCAGCTCATCATAATTCCGGGCCCTAGGGCCTGAGAATCTTGTGTGCTGGGGCTGGGGAGCCAGCAAGAGGCTGGAAAGGAGATGCCCACATGCTCTCCGCCTGTTTCTAAAGCCCGTCCCCTTTCTTGGTCTCCAGGGCACAGAATATGCTCTTAGATATAAAGTTCTAACACTACTCCAGTTCGCATGACCCCTAATTATTCCAAGATGTATATTTTCCATGCAGAAAAATCTCCCCACCTGCTCATGGCCAATCCCTAGAACATCTCATCATCTTTCTTTATCTTCTATGAGGTCCAAACCACACCAAGTGATTAACTTTTTAAAACGCATGCCTCGGGGTCAGGAAACCTGGTGAGGCCGGTGCCTCGGCCTGGCCTATCCCACCGGGTCTCAGGAACCACATGCAGGATGGCACTTCTCGTTCACAGAAGAAGCCCAAGTCACTCCAGCTCCTGCCCTCGGTCACCCCACCTGTCAGGCACGGTGGTTCATCCTCCTCTTGGCTTCTCATCCTGATGTGGGTCAAGGGGAAAAGGCAGCACCCTTGCAGTACCTCCTCACCCCCCTCAAGAGGCACAGAGGGTGGAACATTCCAGAGCCAGCTGGCAGTGCTCACTCCCAGGGGAAAGCCAGCCCCACCCATCTCCCCTACCTGAGGCCCTCGGCAGTGATGATAAGCTAGGCCTTCGGAAACTGTGAGCATCCACGCGGCAGAATCCCTACCATCAATGTAGCAGCTAAATATTGTAAGACTCCTAACTCCCCCATCTGTGTTTTGCCTCCCAAGAGGGAAAATAGTCTTCACAGACATTCCCTGATCTGGCAGGCGAATTCTAAACCTTACTGGCAACCGCAGGCTTGTTTTCCCAACCAAACAGCTATGGAACCAAAAACTGTTCTGCCTGTGTTATGCTGAGGAGGGGATAGCCAAACAGCTCAGTCCGGAGGCCCAGGAAGCCCGTGGCTGTCTCCATCGTTAGAGGGGTCCCGGTGCTCAGAGGTCCCGGAGCCACTGGAGGCCGCCCGCCCTCCGCTGACGGAAGTTACAACTGCTGGTGCTCGCTGTTCCTTTTCCTAACACGGAATACACCCACCAAGAAGCTGATGGAAAACACTCACCACAGTGTGAAATCAACACTTTCTGACTCAAAGGAAAGGGGTAAAAAAGGGAAACCTTCCAACCCTTTGGCTGCAGACATTTCCTCCCACAAGATTCCAGGAGGGAGTGGGCACCGCCATTGCCCTGGGCTCTGCCACTGAGCCGACCTTGGCATCCCAGCCCCTCACTTCCCATTTTATGGTATTTCCCCGCATTTTTCCTAGCCCTTCCCAGTCTCAATACCAGAGCCCTGCACCTGTGCAATTGCTAATACACCAGATCTGATGATGGCTGTGGAAGCCTAATTGATAGGGGCCTTTATCGACTGGCCTTGATGTCTATCTGAGGTTCTCAACAGCCAAGATTTAAATGCTTCATTTTATTTTTAACTTTCACTTTTCCACATTTCAGCAATGTTAGGCAGAGAGGTATGGTTTTACTATCAGAAAGAATCATGGTGCAGAATAATTTATGACTTCAGCTTGGGCTTTCAGAAAAGCTATTTCAAATCTTCACTTTGATTTGGTTGTATCAGAACTACTCAAAATAACAGCGGCACTTTCTTGGAACCAGAATATGTTAGCAGCACCTCAGGATTTCGAACTGAAGCCTTGTATTCATCCCAGAAGAAAACTTGAGAAAGGAATTAAGCCACAGAGAGGAAAATAACATTTTTTCATGATTCCTTTGTTCCCCCTCCCCACCCATCCCCAAACACACCCAAACCACAAAGGAATGCCTCCCCCATGGCAAAAGGTCCTGCCAGCCACCACTCACCCAGAGCTATGGGCAGGTAGAGGAATCCTACCTGAGTCGGGGAGAGGCTGGGAGGAAGCCCCTGGCCAGGGGGGAGAGAGAGGAGGCTATTTGGTTGGCATTTGTGTTAGGTCAATGCGACAAAGCAGGAGGAAATGATGTGTGTCTAGGGCAAAGAGTTCTTATATAGTAAGACTTACCTTAGCAGCTTAACTGCATACTTGTCTTAAGGACTGTCAGTGTGGTGAGAAAATACCCCAGAAAGGATGCGGCTGATCCGGGCACTGACAGATTGCCAGAGGGGCGTCCCAGTTCCCTATCACAAAAGGAAATATAGAAAGAAGTGATGTAAAGTGAAATGTAACAAATTCACCAAATCACAGCAATATGCAGAGGTCAAGGAAATTCAGCTGAAAAGGTTAAAGATGAAATCAAACCCGGTGTATGAGAATGAAAATCTATCCCAATGCAAGGCCACCGGTGACGCTCTGTAGACAAGAAGCTAAATACTGCCTAGTGCTGGGATCTTTCATTTTCATCAGATCAATAAAAGCTTATATTTATCAGGATTCCAAGCAGCTACCACTTCTGACAACCTCCACTTTATTTTCTCACTCCTTGCGCCGTATCGGGGCAAAGAGGAGAGGGGAAGCAGCTTTTAATGCTATTTACACCTGAAGACACAATTCCATTAAGAGGTCCTGTTTTGTTAAAGAAACAGGGAATGATATGATTATATTGGCAGGAGCGGGAAGTCTCTTTGTTCTTCCCCCGATGTTTTCCCTTTGCAAACCAGACCCAGCACGAAGATTTCCTGACATGAAGTCCACGCGCGAGCACTTTTTTGTTCAAACTTACCATTTACAAAGAGGGAAAGGCTTTCTGCTAAAACAGTTACCATTCTGATCATCTGTACAACAATATTTGCTATCAGGCATTCTAAATAGATTATCACCAGTCCATCCGTGTCATTATTGATTTATAAGGCTTTAAGCAGCTTTAGAATGGAAGCTTTCCCACTGAAGGGTTTCTTGTATAAATCAGAGCCATGCTCAAATATAGCAGCCATCACTCAAGATATTGTTCTTAAAATCATAACAAGAAGGAGAAAATGATAAATTGCTTGTAATATACTGATCCAAACTGATATGCAAATCTTGTTTTTTAAATATATTACTTGAGTAAAAAGAGGCGTCATTAACATATGAATGCTATATGCAAATGAAGTGACAGAGCAGATGTTGGCGCATGTAATTGACCTATATGTGAATTGCATCAGAACCCTTAACTCTATTAATTCACTACCCAGTAACTAGATATTGTCCAAAAAGTACATTCTTTGAAACCATATACTGGAAGCAAAGCTGACAGGGTTCCAAGGATTCTGAAACAAGGTCACTGTCACTAGTATTTTGCTGTCATCTGCATTCCCCTTCTTATAGATGACATCATCATGGGGCCGTGTAAATCGATCACTTAATAGCATTTAGAAAATACTGCAGTGGGGAACAGGTTATAAAAAAATGCCCCAGTTTTATTCTTTTTCTTGGCAGAAATGTCATACCTCTTAAACTGAGGGTTTGTGCATGAGTGCACTGTGAAACACACAGATGCCATTTTATTCCCCGTCTTTATTTTTCCACTTCTTCTCAGAATGACATTAAATTGTATTAAATAGCCTTTTGTCCACAGGGCACAGACCACCCCGCATATGATAATGTATTAATGCCCCACGTTCCAGCCACTGAGCTGAAACATTCTGAGACTTGGAGGATAAGTATGAAGCACTATTGTGTGTATAGCCTGCTAACAACTGTGACACATACTAATAGAAACATACCTAATAAATTACTGCTTTCAGGTCTAGCAAGCTGACATTTCTCTGCAAGGGACAATTTTATATTTGTGGCACAGAACAAAATTGCTTCATATGAAGCCACTGTGGATTAGCATAAAAATTAACACTTAAATTTCAGCTTATTTTCCACCCTCTCCTCCTGCCACAACAATCAATTCCTCTTATAAATCTGATTAGATTTTATGATGCTTATTATTCAGAGCATGTCTCAACACAGCATTCACAGGCTTGAAGACTATTTGTTTAAATAGAAAAAAGAAGCAGATAAATCTATAGGTATTTTTTATTACCCCATTCCCCACCAGTTTTTTTCTCATATTGTAACATCAGTAATTGATTGCACACATTAATTAACATGTAAGGTAGAAATTCTGCATTATGCATGATTTATTTTCCTATCTGGTGAGTAGGTTTGTCTGCTGCCCTTGTGTTTCTAGGACATTGGGCTCGATTCTGGTCCAGACATAAATGCCAATGCTCATTCCCCTTGAAAGTTATTAATGTCAGATATGAAATGAGATTTTTGATTTCACCTGCTTACTAGCCCACAAAAGCTGTTTTGAGTGATGTAGGCTTAAACGCCAAAATTTGAAACGATACATTGCTATATCTGATAACATGCAAATATGTTCATTAGACACAATTTAGCAGGAGAGAATAGCAACACTTTTATAACTAGTCTAGGTCAAAAATGGTTGTTAATTAAACAAGTCATGAAAAATGGCATTACAAGGAGACGTCCAGCAGACACCAGACTTTCTAATGATATGCCGCTGATAGGTACCCAATGCTTTCTGCTAAAACAGAGGGGGGGAAAAACTTTCTGAGCATTTCACATAATCTACAGCAACGTTAACAAAACTATACCCACATTAAGAACCCCAAATTGATCACAAATCCTTCTTAGGTTTTAATGGTAACACACTACACTTCTTCATTTGAAGATGCGCTTTCATTCTCTGTCTTAGTGGCTTAAGGTGATTTATATGGTTGACTCCTTCACAAATAAACCAGAAAAGAAATTAATATTATATCCAGTCATGCTGCTGGCTGCCCTGAGTGTTTATGGCTGTGTATTCTAAATCAAGTAGAGCAATATGCAAAAGGATGGTTGGACGATGAAAGCAGAGATGGGGCTGAGGTGGATGGAGGATAAAAGCAAGGGAGGAACGTGCGGGTGGATCTTCCTTTTCCCGTGATCCTTCTCAGATGCAGGCTTCTGTTCCTTACGGAACCAGGGTATAGGAAGAACTCTGGCCATGAGTTGAGATTCAGTGTGGGCGGGGTTCTGATACACAGGTAAAACAGGCCGCCTGAGCTTGTCTTGGGGTGAGGCTTCATGAATACCTGGGGAAAGGAGAGTATCTCAGGAGTTAAGTACAGTCTGAATGAGGGCAGGATGAGTTTCCAAATGGCCACCCATGCCGCCTTCGCTGCCGAGAGGAAAGTATTCATAGAGCGGTAAAGGCTGAACACATCTTCCAGCGCCAACTGGTACCCTATACAGCTTGCTGGTGTGAAAGCCCTTTGTCGATGTTCTACTTATCAAAAGCATCCTTGCAGCCAGACACTTAAAAGCACAGTCTGGAAAACAGAAAGGGCATGTATACGCATTTGGAGTCACGCACAATAAGGAAGGTTGAGGGCAAGCTTAAATTACCATCTCAATAAACCAAAAGAAGTCTACATTTAGGCCATGGAAACAATCGATCTATATTCCCAACACCAACTCAGAGCTTGATGGAAAAGTAATTTCTAATCCCTACTCACTTGGTGGAGGCAGGTCCTTCCCCAAATACTTCACGTCCAAGGCTAAAACATTCTCATTCTTAGCTTGGCTTGCAGTTAATGTTACTACTAATCAAAACAAGCACCATAGTTTTCATCCTGCCTATCTTTCAGCGATAATGTGAAGTTCAAAAAAAGAAAATAGATGGAAACTCTTTGGTGGAGGAAGAGAAGGAAACGTAGTTCTGCAGGACCCTTATTAGTTTTCATTCCCACTATGCGCTTCACTGCATTTCCTGCCCACTCCATGCGTGCCCCTCATGAGTTCATCTGGACAGAGAGCCCCTCCTTTCCAAACTGTCACACCACGGCCCTGGTTTCTGGACTCAACCGTCTATTGCTTCCCCATGGGGCATGCTGCCAGTTCTTACATCCCAGGAGCAACCCAACGATGGCTCGGGGTCATGAGACTTATTGAGGAGGTCTGGGGGGCCCCCACATATTCTCAGGCCATAGGGAAGACCTGAGGAGGGAAGACCCTAAGACCGCAGCACACAAGTGATATTTAGATCCCATCGTCACAGTAAATGGGTTTAGCCTGTTCCTCTCATGGGCCAATAATTCTCCCTCAGGGGCCCTGGCACTGTTTATCCAACTTCATGTGCCTCTACACGCAACAATGAGAAAGATGCCCAGAATCTACCCTGGGTATGGTTAAACTACTCCACATTTCTCCAGAGAAATTAATTAACTTCAAAGTGTTCTATTTGTTGAAAGGATGAAATGAATGAGCGAACTAACAAATGTACACATGAAGAAAAATGTGAATAAGTGAATGAATGCATAAAGGCATGCATGAATAGATGGATGAAGAGGTAGAATGATGATTGAAAGAGTTAAAAAAGTAACAAACACATGACTTAATGCGCAAATGCAAAAATACACATGTAAATGAAAAACACGCCTTATGGATGAATGAAAGGATACCATTGGTATCTTCTTAATAAAAAAGTATACACATGAGCTCTTATAGCATGCCTACCTAGTGGGTTGATGTAAGGTAGAAGAGAAGAAATAGTAAACAAGGTCTGGTTTATTGTCAAAGTGTTTGGTCACCCATCCTTGGCTTCCTTCCTGTATCTCAAAGAACACAAACTCCTAGAAAACCCTGTGGGGCAACCAATAGGATTCTGCACAAACCCCCGCAGACTCAGGAGAAGGGAGACAAACATTCCTGCCTCCTGTCTGAACCTTCAGGATGAGAGGGCTCAGAGAGGTGTTTCTGACCATGAGACACCTGCATCTGCTAGATACTGATGGACATCTCCTGGGAGGCAGGAGCCACAGCCATCAGGAACACAGACTCTAGACCAGAGCCCAGTAAGGCCCAGCACTGATATTGAGAATTCACGTCAACACGGAGCCTCCATTTCTTCATCTTTAGAATGGAGATAACACATCTGAAAGTGCTTAGCCCAGGGTCTGGCACCCAGTCACCACTCGACCATCAGCCATCACTGTCTGATACTGCTCAGCAGTTCTGCCCTGTGACTCCTGGGCCCCCTGCCTGTGGGGAGCTTGCTCCCAGGTGGACATCCGTCTCTACCAAATGTGCTGGTGGCCAGGCTACCGGAAGCAGGGGACTGGACTGTAGGAATCCTCATGACTCCGTTCAAGTGTATATATTGTTTCTTCTACCAAGCTCCACTGATCTGCCTAAATAAAGACAC